TGTGACACAGAGGGGGCCCCTCAGAACTAAACAGATCTGTTACATCAACCACACCACTGGGTTAGAAAGAAGCCCACATCATCACATCAAATTTTCCAGTTAACCTTAAAAGGTGTGAAATAAATGTTGAGTTAATGTGTTTTTTTTCTTCTTCTTCAAAAATGCTTTTGTCCTACCATGAAAAGAAAAACGACTACAGCAGTCCCAGAATAAACCCTGGGATCCTCACCCTATTCTCCTGGCCACTTCCACTGTCCACAGCCACCTGGGGAATACCCTGTAACCCTGATTGCAGTGCTCTCCACTTCTGTTCTTCAGGAACCTGCTCCGGAAGTGCTCCAAGACCCTCTCCTGGAGTTCATGCCCTCTTCACCCACGCTGGTCTGCCAGCACCTTGGAAGTAAAAAAGATTTTCCCAGGACCAGATACTTCCTTTCTCCCCACTGTTAAGACTAGGTAAGATGTCATCTAAGGTCCTTCCAGCTTAAAGTTTATTATTAAACCAATCTGTACTGTTTCCAAAAAAGTCCACAGTAACTGAGGATACAGTAGGAGAACGTTTCTCTAACACATGTGAGGCCCCAGGTTCAATCCTGAGTATCACAAAGAAAAAAAAAAAAAAAAAAAAAAGGAGAGAGAAGAGAAAAGGAAGGGAGGGGAAAAGAAGGGAAGGGAGGAGGGGACAGGCAAATTTTAAAATACTGAGCCCAGCCTGGTGGTACAGTTACATAAACCTAGCTACCCAGGAGGCTGAGGAAAAAAGACAGCAAGCTCAAAGCCACCTTGAGCGATTTAGTGAGACTATCTTAAAATGAAAAGTCAAAAGGAGGTTGAAGGTACAGCTCTGTGGTACAGTGCTTGCCTAGAATGTGTGAGGCCCTGGTGAATCCTCAGAACTGAAAAGGAGGAGAGATGGGAGAGGTGGGGGAGGAGAGAAGGAGGTGAGGGGAGTAGAGGGGAGAAAAAGAGAGAGAAACAGGGGAGGAGGGGAAGGAGGAAGGGGGAGGAGAGAGGGAAATAGTCACATATCCACCCCAGAGCTGTTTGCCTGCTGATGGTGGAACCGTTCTTGGCAGTTGGTGAGCTTAATTTGGGGAGCAAGGATGCTGGATGGCCAAGGTGACCAAAGCCAGCCAATCAGCCAGTGGCTTCAGAGTTTGTCATCTCATGCCCAGCAAGAATAAGGAACCATGGACAAGGACTGCGAAAGAAGTCAGGAGAGCGAGAAGGGCTCCAAGAGGAAATATGGACATGCTGCCTAGCCCAGTGATCTTTTGTGGGACTTATGGCAGGAACTGGATGGAGACCGAGGTGATCTTTATTGAGACTCATTTTTGAGTCTTTTGTGAGCACACAGCAAGCCAAATTAGTGAGGAGTTCACACACCTTCTATATGCTCCCTAGAGTGGCTGGAGAGATGATCCCTGCAGGGCAGGGGAATGGTCTCCTGTGACTAGCTCAGGACAAAGGCCATCCCTCATTGCCTAGGGGAGCTAACACCTATCTCACCTCCTGTCTTGAGTATAATTTAAGATAATGGTAGCAAGTTGGGATTGTAGCTCTATAGTAAACTAGACGCCTAGCATACAGTAAAGACCTGGATTTAGTCCTCACACTGAAAAATAGGGGAGAAAAGAGGAGGAAGTAAAGGTTCAGGAAGATGAAAGGAAGAAGAGATTGCTCTAAAAACCCTAGAGGGATGAGGAAACAGCTGCATTGCCATAAAGCCCATCCTTGGAGACAGACAAGGTCAAACCAAATCAGTCAACATTCATCTCTTTTCCTCAAAGGAACCTGAAGATCTGGGCTGGCCCGGCTCCAAAAGACTACTTCTAACAGTCATGTCGTCAGGTTGCAGAGAGCACAGCACTCCACCATCACTTCTACAACTGACCTGGAAAGGGGTGGGGGTAAGGGGTATCTAGGTTTCACATGGGTCAAGGGTGAACACCACTTATCACTGATGAGGGTAAGATAAATATTAACATAAGTTGTTTGTGTTAAGAGAAACCAGAGGAAGGGCCGGTGAGATGGCTCAGGAAGTAAAGTGCTCAATGCCAAGCCTGACAACCTGTAGTCAGTCCCTGGAGAGAACCACCTCCCCACAGGTTGTTCTCAGACCTCCGAAAGTGCACTGTGACACAAAAATGCAGTCAATCCACATAACTCAAAAGTCAAATTTGGGGGGGGGGGGTAACTCTTGAAATTAGGAACCGCCCACCCCCACCTCCAATGATACTGATTGGCAGATACTTTCTGAGAGACAACAGCTGTATTAAGGGAGGCCAGTGGTCACGTTATGTCACCAGCTAAAATAAATTCTTTCCTCTCTCTGGAGTTTGTCTGATTTTCCCCAATCCCTATGGCTACATTACACTTGGCTGCCCCCAAAATATTAGCTCATGGCAATGTCTTGAAGGGACAGGAGTCATCACAAAAGCAGTTAATTTCCTATGCAACTCACTGACTGATATGCCTATGGTAGATTTTTTAACAGAACTTGCCAGCTTGAAACTATAAATGACTTCAAACTGCTGGTATCCATGTCATTGGGCTATTAGAATAGTCAGGATGTCTAACACTGGAAATAAAAAGACAAATGTTCTAGGAATCAGCAGGCCCTTATTTTGCTTTGATTTTCTAAAATCCAACCCAACTCCATTGTTTTGGAGCAGTATCACGTTTACTCTGCGAGATTACTAAAGAAAACCCAAATTTAAGAAAATAGACAGGACTGGAGAGATGGTTTGGTATTAGGAGCACTGGCTGCTCTTGCAGAGAACCAGGGCTCAATTCCCAGCACCCACATGGCAGCTAACAACTACCTGTAACCCCAGTTCCAGGGGATCCAAAGCCCTCTACAGCCTCCACGGGCACTGCATGCACAAGGTACACTTACATATATACAGGCAAAACACTCATGCATACAAAACAAAATAAATAAATATTTTTTAAAAAGTATTACTAGGAGCCAGGTGTGGTGGTGCATACCTTTCTTTAGTCCCAACACATGGGAGGCAGAGGCAGATGGATCTCTGTGAGATCAAGGCCAGCCTGGTCTACATAGTGAGTTCCAGGACAGCTGGGGCTACAGAGAGGCCATTTCAAAAAGACCAAAAAAAATATTACTAGGGAGGCTGGAGAGATGCCTCAGTGGTTAAGAGCACTGACTGCTTTTACAGGGGACCCAGGTTCAATTCCCAGCACCCGCATGGCAGCTAACTACCATCCATAACTCCAGTTCCAGGGGACCTGACGCCTTCTTCTGACCTTCGTGGGCAGTGCATGACATGGATGCATTTACACACATGCAGGCAATACATTGATACACATAAATTTTTTTTAAATGTTACTAGGAACAAAGTATTACTAGGAACAAAATTATGCCATAAACTTCATAGTAAAACATGCTTACTGTGCTTAAAAGACATAAGACATACGAATTTAGCAACAAATATTAGATATCATGACCTTTGGCATTGGCAATTCCCTGTACCGGTTCAGATAACAGGGGGTTAGATGAGAGAAGTAATCTAATTCCTAACGTCTGCATTCCAAACTTTTGAAATAGCCTCTGAAGAAGCACTATCTTTCACATTTATTTAAAAAAAAAAAAAACTAACGCAATTAAAAAATATGATGTATTAAGCACAATCAATAGATGAGAAAGAGAATGAAAAGCAAGTCAGTTAGTGGAAGCAACATACTCACCAGGAAAGCCCAGAGCAGTGTGCCCATGGCTGAATGAAAAGGGGTGTTGACTCAAACTCTTCCATACCTCCCTTGTTTGGGAGAACATGTAAAATGAATTTCAGGGCCAGGCTGGGCATGGTGGATCAGGCCTGTAATCCCAGTCCAGGAGGATCACTGTGAGTTCAAACCAAACACAAGCTACGAGTTCCAGACCAGCCAGGGTTACAGAGTAAGACTGTATCTCAAAAAAAAAGTCTGCTTTTTTTTTTTTTCAAATGTGTATGAATGTTCTGCCTGCGTGTAAGTGTGCCATGTGTGTGCAGAGCCTGCAAAGGTCAGAAGAAGGTGCCAGATCCCCTGGAACCCGAGTAAAGGGTGGCTGGAACCAAACCCAGGTCCTCTGCAAGAGCAGCCAGTGTTCTTAACCACTGAGCCATCTCCAGCTCCTGATGTGTTTTTAAAGTGGTATTTCCCATTCAGGATAGTAACTTTTAAGCAACATGCCTGATTCAATGACCTTGAATCACAAAAAAACAGCAAGAACAAGTTTAAGAAAATCCGTGGCTTAAAGGTAGCCATAAAAATGCAGAAAAGCAATAGCATGACTTGTCACCCTGTGACAAACAACTTTACCAAATTCCTCCACCTTCCTCTTTGAAGCAGGATAGAAACCAGAAGGCTAAAACTAACTACTGGGGCATTAACATCATCTCAAGCCTGAAAAGGGAAAACTCCCTACCATCAACTGCCATCAACTTTAACTGCAGGCGGTGGTGATACAAAGAGAAAGGGAAATGAAAAATGAAAACTTAATACTTTCTTTGGAAACTTCATACTAATCCTATTGTCATGGCATTCCCCCATTAAAATGTTCTTCTTCTAGAAGGTATTATACTTACTAGCAAACAGCCAAACCTTTTAAGATATAAAACCAGGAAGCAGAATAGGGTCATGGCTTTCCCACTTCCTTCCTCAACCTCCTGCCTTCTAATAGGACAAACTTGGCAGGAACACAGAAGGTGTCAGGCATTTCGATGAGCCAGACAGAGCAAGTCCAAAGGAACAAATCCTGGCATTTGTAAATGGAGTATCCTTTTCAAAACCAGAGCCCAAACAGAGGCTCTTGAAAAAGACATTCACATTTTAAAACATGAGATACATAGTTTGTAGAATTCTAACTCAGTATCTTTCAAAAAAAACCTGAGAAACTTCCACAGCAATTCCGAAACACAGCCATGAGTGAGCATGCACACACACACACACACACACACACACACACACACCATCAGTGCATGCTGCTCACTTACTTGCTTTCTTCTATAATGAGCGAACTGAGAGAGCCCCAAAACGGTGGCAAGAGCTCCTCCTCCCACAAGAACAGTCCCTTTCACTGCCTTCTGAAAGGCCATTTCTTAGCCTACAAAGGAAAAAAATAAGGAAAATAGTAAGTTAACTTTATTGCATAATAATCCACATAATAAAAAGAAATTGTACAGATTATGAAACTCTTAAACTGGACAAGCAGACACAGTAAGAAAGCTACTACATGCTAACTTGCATACACAATTCAAAAGCAGTAAACAAAAACCTGGACAAGGGAATAGATTATGTAAAAGTTACATTCAGAACAGACAGGAATTAAAGAAAGAAATGCAAATTGAGAGACAACTCAGGGTATTTAAACAGTATAAAGTCAAGAGAGCTGTGAAAAGAAATGTCATTGTGTATTTGACAAAACTTCATGCTGTGCTTGCAAATGTGTTCCTCAGCTAATCCCCTCCAGAAGGAGAACTAGTGGAAGTCTTGGGTCACTCAACAGGACAATAGACCTCAAGCCAGCTTCAGGTTCTTCCGGCCAGTGTTTGCTTCAAACTGCTTTAGCCTTCTGGAGTTTTCCCTTCTTAATGAAGTTCTCAGGAAAGCCAAAAGCCAACACATTCAGATTTCTATCACTGAAAGACCTGACACTTTACAGATAGGAAGTCGGCTGACACCATGCCTTGATCCTTTGACAAACTGATAACTTAACCTGCTGTAATTCCTTTCATTAAAAGAGCTTTTTAAAAAAGGAAAAAGAAGACAGCAGGGGGAAGAAAGCAGGTTTTCTTCTAGCTGGAGTTACAGGACAGCCCAGTTCCAAGGCCTCCAGATGAAGCGCCCTTTGTGCTCAGTGTACTTCTAAATAAAGCTGCACTGCACTGGGGGAGCTTTCTGCCTTCTCCCTTGTTTTCTGCCACTGGACTGGATGAACTTTTTGAAGTTTCTCTGCGTACTTAACTTTATTTTCTAAGTTTTTCAGAAACCAAAAACACTGCAAGAAATAAAAACACTAAAATCCTTTTGTCCACTTCCAATATTAAACATAAAAGGGTATGACTGCCTTAAGTTTTGTTTTGTTTTGTTTTGTTTTGTTTTAAAAAACTAACGAGTGAGTAATCTGACCTGCCTAAGACTTTCCTTCCATTCACAAAAGCAGCTGGCCCACTCACCTCTTACAAAGAAGCCAGAACCCTGTTTTCTTGCATGGGTGGAAATCAGACCTGTCTGAACAACACACCGCAACCCTACCTACACTGTAGTGCTCAACAGTTTGCTAGTTTATAACTAGGCATTTTTAATTTAAGACACACAAAAAAAAAGAAGTAAATTATAATTGTTACATGTTAGGATCCATATTGAATGTATAATATCTGTTCTACTATCCTAAATTAAAGAATTTCAGTAGAGTTGGTAACTAGGATTCTACAGAAAACTCATTTTGGAATACTATAAATTATATACTAAAATAGAAGTTGGCATTTCTTAAATTTTTATTTTTTTTTCCACTATCTTCTCCTTCCTCACAAACTCTGAAATTCTAACATGACTTTTTCAGTAACATTCTTACCAAGAAAATATTTCACAAAATATACTAATACCAGGGTCCTCTACTTTCCTTTTGAAGCAGGGTAGAAAGACAGGAAAAGTGAAGGGGACATGGGAAGGAAAAGGCCCCTCACTCCAGGAGTCTGATTAAAACCTCTCACCAGAAAAGATCAAGAATTCCAGCATAGTCAACGTTTGCTTAAGGCCTTTCAACTTCCCCAGCTGTCAACCTACAATTTCCTAGATATCTCACTGGAAACCATCTTTACAGTAAAAGTTCTAACCCCCACCCCGAGTCTTTGGTTTTTACCTTAGACTATAATCCCACCCAAGGCACTCCAGAGCTGCTCAATAATCTATCAATAAGAAAGGGAAAAAGCACAGATTTCTTAGCAGCCCTTTGAGATGTAAGCCAAGAGCCATCATTTTGGTATGCATGCCTACTGCTAGGACACTAATTGCAACTCTCCCTCAAAGACTCCATACCCACACTTCGATGTATATTATTCTTTCCCTGAGTCTGTCTGTCTGTCTGTCTCTCTCTCTCTCTCTCTCTCTCTCTCTCTCTCTCTCTTCTCTCCCCCCCGCCCCGTCTCTCTCTTGACCCCTATGCTATAAAAATGTCTTTTACTAGACTGGTACTCTGAGAAGCCCACAGCCCTGCTCTCAGGTGTTCTTTACTCTTTCCCCAAGTGCCCTTCTATTTATAATAAACTCCAGCTCTACTTCAGACAAACTAGTACTAAATTCTTTTCTGGCCAAAGCCAGGAGTCCTGTGCTGCCTGAGTAAGATCTCTAGAAGACTGAGCACATTCCTCAGGGTGCTGAGAGCAACAGCATGGAGCTGAGTCTCCATCTCTGCCACCACTGACTACACTTTCCCTACATAATTTTCACTTTTGCCTAAACTGTGGGAGACACAAGTTAGGCTAGCTAGGGAAGTCATTCAACATTCGGTTACCCTTAAACAAACGTTCTCTATAGCCAAAAACACACCAGAGCAGACACCTATTTGTCATATAGCATATCACCATTCAAGGTGCTCCCACAAATGTTCACCTGGGTGCCTGTCACAACACTAGAAATCCTAGCAGCCTGGAGACAGCATGCTATCACAAGGTTAATTTGGTCAAATGGACAGAGACTCCTAGATCTATTTACCTAAATCGTCACATGCCTACCCCATACAGACAGAATTCTGCCTGTAGTTCCTTTGGATGTGAGTGTGGTGGCTGGATGACTTAGCGTAGCATCACTATTTCTGTCTTGCTGATAATGTCATTCATTAATTCATAAAGGAAAAGCTACCCATCATCAAGGATAACTGTGGGATGTTACATGTAAGTCAATGAAAATGTGTCACCATGAGTTGCTTATCCAACCAGTTAGGTTTAGAGCTGATTCTTTCCAAAAGTGTGGCTTTCCTACCCACCTAACTGTACTGTTTCAATTAACTTTGTCCAGAACTAAAATTTGAAAAGAAGACTATTATCCTTTACTTTCAAGATGCCACTAATACTAATGAAAATTTGTATTCACATATTGCCATTTACCAGCAATATTCACTATAGTCATTTCTTCTTTTATAATTTTATGTAAGAACTCATGATTAAAGGATCACTATCACACCAAATCCTTCTATAAGATCATCCAGCTAATTATAATGAATAAACCACACTCCTAGGTAATTCAAAACAAAAGCAGTGAATAAGTTTCACCAGTCTCACCTAAGGTCATCATTGACATTTTTGTTTTTATTAAAAATGTCACAATGAAGACTAGAGAGAAGATGGCTCAGAGGATAAGAACATATGCTGGTCTTGCAGAGGACCTGTGTTCTAGTCTAAGCATTAATGTCAGGAAGCTCACAACTGCCTGTAATTCCAGTCTCAGGCAATCCTGTGCCCTCTTCTGACCTCTGTAGGCAATGCACTCATACGCACAAACCCATATTCAAGATACGTATGTCAAGTGTGGTGATGCATGCCTTTAATCTCAGCAGAGGCTACAGAAGACCCTGTCTCAGAAAAACCAAAAAAAAAAAAGATAAACATTTAAAAAAAAAAAAAGAGTGTCACAGGGCTGGGCTGGAGAGATGGCTCAGCAGTTAAGAGCACTGGCTGCTCTTGCAGAGGACCCAAGTTCAGTTCCCACCACCCACATGGCAGCTAACGGCCTTCCATAACTCCAGTTCCAGGGAATCTGATGCCCTCTTCTGACCCAAGCACCACTGGCATGCAATGCCTGCTGAGGACAGAAGAGTGCATCGGATCCTCTGGAACTGGAGCTAAGATGGGTTGTTAGCCCCTAAAATATTAAAGAAAAAAAAAAAAAAAAAAAACGTTGAGCAATGAACCTGGCATGGTGGCCCACACCTTCAATCCCAAGGATACTAGAGACAGAGGCAGGCAGATCTATGTGAGTTCACATTGATCAGTATAGGTAGTTCCCAGACTAACCACGGCAGGGTAGTGAGACCCTGCCTCAAAAAATAGTATCTTTGAACAATGTAATTTTAAAAGCCACAGAATCATATAGTAGATGATAGACGGAAGGAAGGAAGGAAGGAAGGAAAGAAGGAAGGAAGGAAGGGAGGAATTTCTATTGTGAAGATTCTAAAAGTGTCTTTCTATCTCTAAACGCCTACACCAAAATCTAAATTACTTACTATTTCTTCTTTTTTTGTTGTTGTTTTGTTTTGTTTTGTTCTTTTTGAAACAGGGTCTCCCTGAGGCTGGGATGGCTCAGAGGTTAAGAACACTGGTTATTCTTACAGAAGACCCGGGTTCAAATCCCAGCACCCACATGGCAGCTAACAACTGTCCATAACTCCAGTCCCAGGGGATCCGACAGCCTCTTCTGACCTCCACAGGCATTGCACGACACAGGTGCACTTACTTACATGAAGGCAATACACGCATACACATAAAATAAAAATAATAATTTTTTTTTAAAAAAAGAAACAGAGTCTCCCTGTAGCTGCAACTGGCCTGGAGTTCACTGTGTAGACCAGGTTGGCCTTGAATATTCACAGAGATTCACCAGCCTCCCTAGTGCTGGGACTACAGGCGTGTGCCACCACGCCTGGCTGTACTACCTCTTCTTAATAGACTCTTCTTAATAAAACTTTGTTTCACTCTGACTTGTTTGGAAATTCTTTTCCACCATGCACTCAAGGAATAGGAAAAGTTCCATCTCAAGGTTCCTGTTCAAGAATCTGGCACAGGTGCCTATAAGAACTCCTCAGGCAGTTCTGGCCACCAGCAGCCTCATCTCCCTGCCACCAACAGCAGAACCAAAAATAGAGACAGATCTTCACTTCCTGCCATTAAAAGTATGAGAAAAACCCAAAGAGAAAATGACCCAAAGCCATTAACGTGCTTATCACAGACTCAAGGTTAGTGCTTTATGGCTTGTTATAAACTTACACACAGATGACTCGGACTGGCTCTGATGCCAATACAGTCCAACTCAGATTCCAGCAAGAGCAGTGGCTCAGCTGACAAAGCCTAAACAAAATGGCCCTCACCCATGTACTCATGTGCCTCAAGA